GGGGGGGGGGCGCTCTGGTTAGAGAAAATGCCAGGGGGTGGTGTGCTCCAGTTAGGAGGTGGCCCCAGTTGGGCAGCCTCTCGGGTCACCGAGCCTCCTGCAAGCCCCCCAGTTATGCACAGGGCGAGACCTTTCCTGCATATCAAGCAGCCTTCACTGAACAGCACACGTAGACTGGCTTAGGCCACCCACTCCCCATAGCCAGACGTGTTTCTGCCATCCCCTGGGAGTTGAGAAAAGAAGCATAGACTGAAATTGGGGTTCTCTGGCCAGTCTTCACAACAGGAACTGGGGAGGCCCTGAGTCAAAGGGTAATCTGGGCCTCACTCCTGTGAGGGTTCAATCTCGTGGAACATGAGACTCCAGGAAAATTCCACTAAGTGCACTGACGGTGCACTCAGCTGCAGAGGAGGCAGTGGACGATCCTAAGTACCAAGGAAGACTTCCCAGGTTTGGGGGGACAGCCTGAGTCAGCTCCTGACAGGCCAGGAACCCCAAGCTCTGTCTGGAGCCTCAGGACGGGAGGCTCAGGAGCGGTCTTGCTTAACAGCCTGCACAGCTCCACCAGCTTTCACCCGCACCTACTTCTCTGGCACCAGCCTTTCTCTCTCCACTCTTGCCTTGGGCCCTAGTTTGCCCCTACTCTGAAACACTTTTATCTCAGGTATCTGTGTGGCTCACTTCTTGACAATCCTTGGGTCTTAAATACCACCTCTTCAGGGAAATGTCCGCTTGCCCCTATTTAAAAACAATACTGCACCCCAAAACTTCCTTGCTTTCTTTTACTCCATAGCATTCCGTTGCCATATTGCCTGTCTGCGCCACTAAGTCCAAAAGGTAAGGGATTTTTGTTTTGTGTGCCCTAGTACCTGGAACAATGTTTGGCATGCAGGAGACAAAATATTTGTTGAAGGAATAGATGAGTTAAGATGTGAAAAAAAGTCCTTCATTAGGCAAAGACCGACTGTAAATGAATGTGTCAGACGTAGGTGATGTTCCCATTCTGCGCCATCAGCCCGACCCACCCTATGCTGGTATTATCGCCGACCAATGATGTTAGGTGCTCTTCTCGGCACATGATGTGTTACGTGTTGACTCAGTGACCGTCAGGTCAGTCCTGGGAGGTGGACGTCGTTTTCATCCACATTCTGTAAGTAAGCAAACCAAAGCAGGGGTGTGCCTTCAAGGCCACACACTGTCGGGAGGCAGAGATGGGATTTGAAACAGGCAGAGTCTCAACTATGAGGCTACAGCTTCTAGTAGATGTTTCACAGGTTATCCTGCTTGTGGCATGCTTTGTGTTTTTGTCCAATATTCATCCTCTCCTTGTCCCACAAATAGTAAAGTTTTAGGGTACATGGCTGCCTGTACAGTTCCAACTGTAAAGGGTGGCCAGTGGGATGTGTGCAAAAGTGATACAATTTACTTCTCATCGTGTCCCCAAAAACGTTGGAGGTTCAAGACCAGTAAGCTGGGTGATGGTGAAAATTGCAACAGCCATCCTGGACCCAGGGGTGGCAACCTCGACTTGACTTGAGAATTACAGCTATGCCACCTCTGAACTGTTAAATGTACAAGAAATAAACTTCTATCATGTGGGACAGGGCGCTCGACCCATCTCCTCATAGTCCTATGAGCTTATTATAGATTAAGGTAGCTGACACACGTAGCCAGGGTCCCCCCTTCACCATACGGCAGAGCTGGAATTTGAACCCAAAGTCTTATCTTAACGCCACCTCCAAGGTTTCCCAAAGCACGCGAGGATCCCGGCCCCGCAGGGCGTTTACGGGCCCTCTGGAACGTCTGCAGAATGCCTCTTCAGGAAACGCTGCTCTCCCGTACCCTGACTTTTTATTTGCTCCCGGGTTCCTTGTGTCCTAGACAACAGTCCTTTGAAGTGTAGACCTCGGGAGCGGGCTTGTGTGTTCGCACTTGGATGGGAACCAAGAAGCAGCATCCCTCAGAGCCAGACGTGGCAGTGGTGACGGCAGGGGCAGGAGACTTGAGGCCAAGGGTAAAGGAACTGGGGAAGCCTGCTCCCTCACCCCGACCGGATTTCGTCTGGCACACGAAGTCTAAACTGCGTAGCCTGGAGTGGTGGGTGCCAGACGGCTAGCCCAAGATGTATGCTAACAAAATGGAACAGCGGTGGTCTTCTCCCCCGTCACAAGGCCACTTAAGTTGATGCTGAAGCTCCAAACACGCAAGCCCGCCTCCGAGGGCAAATCCTGAAGCAGAACCGGGAGGCCAAGCGCCTGGCCCGGCCCTGGCTAACCGCCACGGGCGACTCCCAAAGCTGGTTCTGCTCCCTGCCCGGATCGCTCCCCCGCCCCCCCACCTTCCGGCCCAAGACGCCCGGAAGGAGGAGGGACCCAGAGCGGAAGGGGGTGGGGGGTGGGGAAAACGACGGCAAGGGGCGGGGCCGAGGAGAGGGGCGTGTGCCGCGGGGAGGAGAGGGGCCGATGAGGGGCGTGCCCCGCAGGGAGAGGCGGGGCTGAAAGGGGCGTGCCCCGCAGAGGGCGTGTCGTGCATGGATGGGCTAGGCTAAGAGGGGCGTGCCCTATAGGGAGGGGAGGGGCTGAGAAGCCCGGGGGCTTGGGCACACCCACAACAGCCACTACCCTAACACGCACACACACCCGGCAGAGGAGGGCGTCCCACAGGCCACTGTGCCCAGCTCTACAAATGAAGCTTTTTATTTACACCAAGTCTCTCTAGGCCCCAACCCCCGGGGAGAGGCCGACTACAGGGGGGCTGCGGAGGCTGGTCGGGGCAGAAGCTGGTCCGGAGGCAGAGGCCGCGGGGAACGGCGGGCAGCGGCGGGTCCTGAGTGGGCCGGGCCAGGCCGGGAGCGAAGGCACGAGGCCCTGGGAGCCTAGTCCCAGGGCGTAGGTCCGCCCATCCGGAGAAGGCGACATGGGGTCAGCTCCCTGGGGTCAGGCCAGGGTCCACACCGCCACAGCTCTGCTCATAGGATGGCGGGGCCTCTGCAGGGAGAGAGCCAGGTCTGCATGGGGCCCGTGGCTCCCCCTCCCTACCAGGCCCCAGGCCCCCACTCACCATAGGGGTAGCCCCACGAGCTATACTCAGGCGGGAGGATCAAGGTACTGGTCGTGGGCACCGGCCCTCCAGAACCCTCTGCAAAGTAGGGCACGGTAGCACCTGTGGAGATGCACAAGGGAGGGGGCAACGGGTGGGGGGCAGGGCTACCATCCTGAGGATGGGGTTCAGGGGCGCCAGGCACAGAGCCGAGGGCTGCAGGCGGCTGCTGCTGCTGTGAGTGGCTCTTGGTGGAGAGGGAGACAGGGTCCGAGAAGAAGTGGGGGCCACCAGCCACAGCCTCCGCCTCCTCCTGGGGTGGCGCTGAGGGCACCACCAGGCCTTGGCCTGGCCGGGGGCTCAGTGGGACGTGGTTCACAGCGATGTTGCCGATGAAGACTGGGAGGGTCACGATGGCTTCTGGCGTCTTCAGGGAGACCTGGGGAGGTTATGCGAGTGAGGAGCCAGGCCACCGGCCCCTCTTCCCACCCCACCCCTGTATCCCTACCACCTGCAGGTAGTAGTCCACATGGATGAGGCTGCAGCCCGGCAGGGCAGACTGGGGCAGGGCAGGCACCAGGATCTGCTCTTGCCACTGAGCCCGCCTCCAGGCCTTGACGCCAGCGCCCTCCACCTCGGCGATGGTCCGCACGTCATAAATCCAGCGCTTGGCCTTGTAGGACACTTTCTGGGGAAAGGCCAGCCTGTGAGCCTGGGCAGGCCAGCCACCTACCCCTCCTCTGCCCCATGGGGACAGGGCCCAGCAGGCAAGGGGACTCTGACCTGCAGCAGACTGGCCACCACAGGACTGGTGTCCTTGCCTGACTGGTTCTCAATGTCAGCCTGCAGCCGCAGCACCTGCCCCACCACGTAGCCTCGGAGGTCGGTGCTGGCGGTGAGGACTACGCTGCCTGTCTTCACCAGCTTGTAGGAGAACTTCTTGGTGGTGGAGGCCACATTGGGTTGCTTGGGAGGGGAACAGAGAGGGGGTTTGGCAAGTGTGGGTAGGCGGGATCCTCGGGGTCAGCTCAGGACAGAGAGGCCGCTGCTCTTCCAGACCCTGGCCGCCTCACCTGTGCTGGGGACAGGGTGTCAGGCAAGGGTGGGCCCACCCAGGAGGCCACTGCCCAGGCTCACCTCGATGTCTGGGATGCTATTCAGGTTCAGGGGGCTCAAGATGTAGAACACGCGGCTGCACTGGTGATCCTTGGAAAAACGTGGTGTGTCGATGGTGGCCCGTACCTGGTGCACAATCTTCCCAAAAGGACCCTCAAAGGACGTGGGAGCTGTGGCTGGAGAGAGAGCAGGGACTGGTACCCGACTGCCCCCCACTCCGCCTCCCACCCACCCTCGCCAACTGCCACCACCTGGCCTGGCCAGGCTGGGCTCTCACCAGGAAGCAGGAACTGGAAGGGGAAGCTGTGCTCTCCAGCAGGCAGGCTCCCTGCAGAGACAGAAGGGAGGTAGGGGAGAGGGGACAAGGTGACCTCACAGGGTCCAGGACAGAAGCAGGCCCTGCAGCCAACCAGCTCACACTGCATCTGGCTGCTGGGCTCCCAGCCTCTGTCTCCAGCACCTCAGCAGCACAGGGCTGTGGCCTGGGCAAAGGATGGGGGTGAGAGCTTGGCTTGAACAGGAGAGGGGGCAGGGCTGTTCCAGGGGCCGGAGCCCATCCAAATCCAGGAGAAGGTGGCCCTCTTCAGCCACCCAGCCCCCATCAGGCAATGCCCTGTGCCTGCCAGGGAGAGAAATCCAGCAAGGTGCACAGTCCTGGGAGAGGGTGGGCTAGCACGGGGATGCCAGAGGCGGATGGGGAAGTCAGGTGGACAGACCCCACTCTCAGTGGGATGAGGTGAGGGAAGGGTTCCCAGACTCACCCTTGTCGGCCAGGGACAGAGCGCTGTTGAAGTAGCCCTCCTCCACCACCCACGCTGTGTCATTGGCCTTGCTGGAGACCTTGCAGGACCCCGTGCAGGTCACCCGGATAGCTGCAAGGGGGGGACAGCATGAGCCCCAACCAGGCTGGCCTGGGCCCCTCCCTAGCCCCAGCACAGGGATTCAGGCAGGACGGGCAGCACCCAGGACCGCCCAGCTAGGCCCTGGGAAGGCCAGCACATGGCCTGCTACCCTCCAGAGGACACTTCCTGTCCGTGCCACATCTTCAGGTGCTCTCAGCGAGCCAGGGTGGCGAGGCACAGAGTTCCACCTGTCGTGCCATCCAGAACATGAAGGCCCTGACGGTCACCCAGATGACCCCTGGGCAAACCCCCACCCCCAGCCCCCGCCCAACCAGACCTGTGAAAACCCAGCTCCCTACAGGGGATGCTTGGGAAACCCTAGGTGAACAGAGGCCTTTGGGGCAGCTGACGTCCGACCCCACCTTCCTGCTGCCTCTCAGGCAAGTCAGTTAGGCTGGGAGGCACCCCTTCAGGCTCCAGGAAGCTACCTATTAGCCCTCATGCTGCAGGAATGTGGTCAGACCCGCCTGAGCAGATAAGGAACCCAACAGTCTGGCACACCAGAGGGTGGGGACACCTTGGCTTCCTGGGCCAGTACTGCCCAGGAGCGCTGATTTCTGCATTGAGATGGCTTGGTCCTCCCCCACACTCCCCAGGGGAAGCACACACACCAGGAACCAGGCAGCAGGGTTGCTGCCGCCTTCCGTCCTGTGATCAGGAACACAAATTCCTCCGTCCAGAGCCCACTACAGTCAGAAGGCCATGGCTGGACCAGGCCCAGCCGAGGCTGGTCACCAGAGGGGACACCATGGCTGGAGACCCAAACAGGGCAGGGGGTGGGAGCTCAGTGACAGGTAGCCCTGTGGCTCCCTCCATTTCTTCCTCTCCCTGCGGGGCTGAGTCAAGACCAAAGACTTTAGCCTGCCTGCCCAGCTGCCCGTCCTCCCCTGACCTGATGGACTGGTGAAGGGAAGGTAACTCGGAATCTGACACCCTCCTGACAAAGCCATCAGGCAGGAAGAATGCAGTGTCTCAAGTGCCCAGGGCCAGGGGCAGCCACACCAGGTCTGTCTGTGGTCTCCCCAGGCAGGCCCCACCTTGCTGATGCAGGCCTCCTGTTGGTCCCACAGTGCACTGGGCTGCCCTCCACGAACCCGTGACTCGGCCTCCGCCCCATCGGCACTGCCAGTGACCAGCCCTCAGCCTCCGTGCCAGCCCAGGCTCACCACCCGGACCTCGGCCCTAATTTCTAATCCACGCTCCACCCGTCATCCCCTCCTAGGGCCAGACCTGGAACTGTTCCCACCCTGGAGGTCTGGGACACCAGCAGTGCTCCTACAGACCAACACATCCCAAGAGAGGCACGGCGTGGAGCGAGCAGAGAAGGGGAAGCCTGACTGTAAAGTAACTAGAAGACGTCCTGGTGGATTGCAGACGTCACACTGCTGGAAACATTCCTCCTGGAGAGGGTGCGTCCCCCCTTGAATCCGGCTGCCCTGGGAATGCTGGGAACAATGGAGTGTGCTGGAAGGGGTGCGATGGTCCCCAGACTGGCCCAGTGACAGCTGAGCACTGTGAAGTGACCCCAGTGGATGGGACACGGAGCTGAAGAGTCACCCTGCCGAGCTCTGCCCAAAATCCTAACCCACAACAGCACAAGTTATAATAAAATGGTTGCTTTAAACAACTTAGTTTAGGCGTGATTTGTTTACTTAGAGGTGACTTTCACACAGCAGCAGATAAAGGAATAGCTGTCTAACCTCACTAGAATTCACGGAAACTCATGTGACTTACCATTTAACACATCAGATTGGCAAATATTAAACATTCTGATACGTGTCATAGAGAAGGTAGAAAAACAGACACTTGCTTATAGCAATCAACCTGTCGGCTGATATGACGGAGGCCCTGGAGAAGAAGCAGGCAGATCTGCTGTAATTTTACACACGCATTCCAGGGATCCAGCAGATCCCCTTAGAATCTCACCCTGTTCACCCTGTTCAACACTGCTCCTAATAGCAAACAATCTAGGCATAGCCTACGCGTCCAAAAGCAGGGTGGCTGAAACAGGCACACACTCAGCCAGGACCCGGCCATACAATTAAGGTGAACAAGCCAGGGTGGCACCTGGCCCCAGAAAAACAAACCGGCCCTCGAACTCTGTGAACTTCCCAACGACTGTGCCAGGGCCCCCTCTGCACATATGCTGTGAGGCCCCTTCGGGGACCCTGCCTGGATGAACAGCCTCCAATCACCGACTGGAAACAAACTCCCATCCCTGTCCAATCTCTCCTCCACAGGGGAATAATGGAGGCGCAGGGGGAACTGGAGGTTTGGGGCTGCTCCAGTTCTCTAAGGAGAATCATCATGTGGATCCTGTGCCAGAGTGGCTTCTGGAACTTTCCTCTTGAGCCAGCACTCTCACCTGTCCAGCAGCCCTCCTCCTATGTACCACCTGCAGTCTGAACATGAAGACTTCTGCTTGCTCCCCGTCTGCTTGCTCCCCCTCTGGTCCCAAAGGTCTGTCCCAGCCTCCATCAGCTCCCTCAAACCTGGGGCAGCCCAGCCTCTGCCACATCCTTTCACTACAGCTCTAGCCTGCAAGCCACTTCCCTCTGTCCTGTTTCCAAATCTGTAACACGAGAGGAATGACAACACCCACCTCCCAGGGTTGCTATGAAGACTGATGGATTGGTCCTTGGGAAGTGGGAATGGCATCTGGCCCACGGTGAGAGCCCAGGGAGCCGGCAGAGCTGGGAGCTGGCTGCTACTGTTGTCCGGGCATCACCCTCCCTCGTCGCCCACCTCGAGAGCAGAACACAGGGCAGCCCCGCCTGACCCCCAGCCTCCAGCTGGGCTGGACCCAGTCTCCAGCTCCGTCTCCAGCTTTCTTCCACATCAGCTCCCAAGGCAGCCGGCATCCCCAAGGCTGAGTGCAGACCATCACTGACACTCCTCAGTCAAGTGTTCAGAGGCCTGCTGCCCCCCACCCTCCATGTCCTCCTGGGGGCCCCCCTATTGCATCAATGCCTGGTAACAAGTGTCTTTTGAGGGAAAGGAAAAATAAGAACCATGGTCTTTCCTCTCTCACACCCCGGCAGGGCCGGAGGCCTACAGAGGCCCCAGCACCAGCATCCCCCCTACCCCTGGGGGGCAAACTGAAAATAATACCCTCTCTGGCGCGAGGCCAGTCGTTGCTGGAGTCTCCAGCCTGTGACCTGACCTGCTTCTCCCCGCCTCAGGGCTCTTACAGTCAGGGACTCCCTCAGCCTCCTGGGGCCCAGCTGTCCATTTACCCAGATCCTACCCACCACGTGGAGGCTGCGGGGCTCTAACCAGCCCAGGTTAGTCACGCACAGCTCAGGCCACCCCTTCACTGTGGTCAACAACAGCCTGTTCGCCCTGGGCCCCAGCTACAGGGGTTGACAGGGCAGCAGGCCAGGAGGAGAGCTCTGCGTGGGGTCTCTGTGGTGTCCGTCTGTCCTCCAGCCACGGCCCACCCCTCCTTCCTGTGCCCTGCCAGCCGCACTCACCTCTCACTGGTGCCCCAGAGCAGAGCTGCACTGTCCCCCCCGGTGCCCCTGCCACAAGCACACCTACCCCCACCCAACCCCAAACTCCAACTGGGGAGACAGGAAAGAGGCGACACATTACGGAGGTGGGCGGTGTCACCGGTCCAGGACGGAGGAGGCAGCTGCCCAGAGAGAACGGTGGCTCTGCATCCTCAGCGGGCACCCCAAGCGCTGAACGGTCAACCACACGGGGGCCTGGAAGGTCAAGGCCCAGAGGGAAGCCCGGCAGCTGTGGTTCTGGCCAAGCACCCCAAGGTAGAGAAGCGCCCCAGGACGGACACACCACACAACCTCACACTCAGAGCCGGGGTCAGGAGAGAGACCCCGCCCGGGCTGCGGTTCGCCCACGGCCCAGAGGGACCAGGTGTGATGTCCCCCGCAGGGCCCGGTTCACACCTCAGGCAGCAGACAGACGAGGCCAGCGCCGGCAGGAAGCCCTAGCTAGGGGCGCCGCAGCAACCGGATCCCCGGTCTCAAAGTCCCAGATGTCTGCGCCAGCAGAGGGACCGGCCAGGAGGGCTCAGGTTCGGCTCCCAGATGCCCGCTACGGCGGCCTACGGCACGCAGGGATTAGCAAGATCCTCCCAGCCCTTAGGGACTAGCCTCGGGCTGGGTGTAAGCAGTGCCCTGCAGCCCGTCCCCGGGGACCCGCACACTCGGCGGGGCTGCCTGGGTGTATGGGAGAGAAAGCCCAGCGCGGGCCGGGCTCCAGGTGAGGGCCCAGCAGCTGCAGGGCGCAGCGGACCGGAGACCCGACAGGGAAGGTCAGAAGCGTCGCGGGTCCAGGTCAGAGTGGCCTTCGGCGAAGTAGACAGGCTCGAAGCCCGCGCCCCGAGTCTGGACGGCCCTTGGCGGAGAGGACAGGAAAGGCAGATGCGGAAGGACTGGGCCACCCGGGCCTCCCTGCTCCGCCCCGACCGCCGCCGGCCTCCCACCCCCGCGGTCCGCCGCCCGGCCGGCCGCCCCGCGGCGCCTCCGGCAGCCGGACGCGCGCCCCCGGCCTCGCGTGTCCCGGGCCCAGCGGCCGCGCGCCGCTTCGGAGCCACGCCCGGCCCGCCGCAGGTGCGGCCCTTCCCGGACCCTGCGCCCACCTCGGAAGGGCAGCGGCGCCGCCAGACGCACGCGCACGGCCCCCGCCAGCGGCTCCCCCGGGCTGTAGACGACGCGGCCGTGGCTCAGGCGGACCTCGAAGAGCTGCACCCGTCCCATGCCGCGGCCCTGAGGGGCGGCCGCGCGCTGCCGCCCCCGCCGCTGCCGCTGCCGCTGTCGCCGCGCGCCCAGCCCCGCCCTCGCTGCCCCGCCCCGGCCCCCCGCCCCCCCCCGCCCCCCCCCTCCCCCCGCTGGCTCCTGTCCGCCCCCCAGCCCCGCCTCGGTCCGTCCCCTCAACCCGCCCTTCCCCGCCCCGCCCCAGCCAGCAGGGTGGAGCTCGGGCGCAGCCCGCGGGAACCCGGCGCACCTGCGCCCCCTGCTGCCTCACCTGTGGAGGGGGCGGGCCGGGCCGACGCCCCCTCTCAGGCTCCGCCCCGGGGTCTCCACCGTGCAGCGTCTCTACACTGAGGGAAGTCTCCAGGCTGGGCTTGTGTCGGGGCGGGGAGCGCCTGGCCTGCAGCAGCGGGAGGGAGAGGTGAGGGGTGGGGCTCGATACCCAGGGGCGGATTCGAGGGCAAATCCGGGAGTCTAGGAGAGAGAAGGCCGTGCTTGGCTTAGAGAAGGTGCTGGGCGCCTACTGGCAGGTTAAATATGGGGTTGCTTGAAGGAGGGCGTCAAGGGGAGGCCAGGTTTTTGTCCAGAACAGCTGGGCGAATGGGGTGGCATTTTTTTGATGGAGACAACCGGCCTAGATACAAGTTGTTTGGGGGGTGGGGAAGGGGAGAAATAGTGACCGGCAGAGTCAGAGGTGCCTGTTAGGCACCCAAGTGAACTGGCACTTCTAGGCATGAGTCTGCGGGAGACAGAGGACGAACGATTTGTCAGACCCTTGTTTGTAGATGGTAACTCTATTCAGGACACTGATGACATCAGGAGTGGGGGTGAAAGCCACAGAAAGCTAATCTAGCCCTCCAGCAAAAGGAGAGGGGCCTCACAGGCTGAGGGGTCCACTGGGCCAGGCTGAGGAAAGGCAGCAGCCAGGGAGGCCCTGAGGGCCAGGGGTCTGCAGCAGGCGCCAGGTCCACCTGGTTTACCCGGGATTCTGATGCTTCAGGAGGGAGAGTCTGACTGGCCAGCTTGACACTCCTGTCAGGACTGTGCAAACTCCCTAACAAGGAGTTTGGGGTGCCCATGGGATGGGGAGGATGGCGGGCAGCCCCAAAAAACAAGTGTCCATGGCAGAAATCAAAAAGGAAGTGTTTGAGGAGGCAGGGAGAGATGCTGTTTTGGCTGCTGCTGAGATGGAGGAGATGGGGGCAGAAAATGGGTGACCTTACCCCAGGTCATACCTGTTTCCCACAATCGCACCCTATAGGGCTCTGCATGTCCTTTCCTCTGACCCCCTCTCCCCTCTAGAAGCTCTGCTGGTGTGCCCTCATGTCCACCATCATCACCACCCTGACTTTGCTTTTCTCTAAACATTCCTTTCCTCATGCTCTCATGGAGCCCGGGCTTCCCCTGGAGGCTCTAAAGTGTAAATGTTTATTTTCGTACAACCCCTGTACCTCTGGGCCTGCAGGTAGGGTGGATGCTCTCCTGACTCCTTATGACCACTTCCAGACCATTTTCCCCTTTGCCCTAACAGCTGCCAGCCTTAACTCTCATTTTCTCAGAAGAATAATTCATTCCCCCCTCCACTCTTGCTGTTACCTTCAAAGCCAAGGCCTGCCCCCCTTATTCTTTGGGGATTTCAGCTCCTGACTCACTCACTGTCATTCTCTCCAGTACCACTTGTGCAGGAATTCTGACTTCCGAATCCACATAGGTTTCCTTCCAACCTCAACCTCCTGGCCTCTGTCTTAACATGAAACCAGGATTTGTTTTAATCAGCTATGGTAAGGTGACAGACACAAAGCCAACTGCCTTGAAAGAAGAGTTTAGAACTTACAGGTCCCAAGTGGGGCACGCCACACTGTGCAGGGCCACGTGGGGAAGCGCCAGTGCCATCAGGAACAGGAGGGAGAGGAGAGCTCGGCCAGAGCCTTTACCGTGTTTTCAGTGGGAAGGAGGCAGGGTACGCAAGTTTGAGCAAGTTTAGGATTGGATAGTTTGAATAATTTCAGCGGTCTCTAGTGGTCCAGTACCTGGCCCTGGGTGAGTTAGGCAGGGAAATACTGGCCTGGTGTACTGGTGACAGGAGGTGGTTGGGGTGTGGGCTCTGGATCGGTTGGTTTGCAAGTGAAAGGTGTGTTGGTGGGTGAGTTGTTTGCTGTCTCTAGGAATTAGCCAGCCTGGGAAGGGCGGTCTCTCCCCAGCCAGCAAGGCCCTCAAGATGTCAAAGCATCAAAAATCTAGAAAATAAAAAACATGATCAAGGCAGTGCTCATTCCCTTGACTCCTGTCCTCTGAGAACCTTCCCCAGCTGGCTTCAGCAGCCCCTCTTGTGGCTTTACGTTTGTCTGAACAACGTCACCCAACAACTTCTCTCACCCCATTCCACTCACGCCGTTACTCCCATCAGCAGGTGGGTTCCACCCCTCCCACTGAATGGGGCTGGCGCCTTGACTTGCTTGAACTGCCAGAGAGAGAGATGCCATGCCAGTTTCAGGCTCTATGAAGGGCTGGCAGCTTTTGTTCTCATTCCCTGACAGTCCTGAGCTGCCATGTGACAATATCTGGCTACTCCTCTGGAGAGATCACCTAGAGAGAAAGGGAAAGCCTGGACGTAAGAGTCTCAGACTTCTCGCCTCACACATCCTGACCGTGGCTCCGTGAGGGACACTGGCTGTTTCGGCTGTCTATTGTTGCACGACAAACCCCCCAAATGTATTACTTACTCTGAAAACTAGGTTGCATTCAGCTGGGAGGCTCTTCTACTCTGTGTGCTATCTGTCTGGGTTAGAATGGCCAAGATGTCTGGCACCTTGACTCGGGTGGCTGGGACAGCTGGGGGCTGCTCAAGTATCCCTTCCCTGAGGCCTCTCCACATGGTTTGCTTGGGGTTCTGCACAGCATGAGGGTCTCCAGGTAGTAAGACTGATTACCTGTGAGCAGGCCCCCAAGAGGCAGGAAGGTAAAGCTGCCAGTCCTCTGGCCTGGGCTTGGAAGTCCCAGAACTTTCTACCAGATTAAGTGCATCAAAACAGTCACAGGGGGCCTTCCTGGTGGCACAGTGGTTAAGAATTCGCCTGCCAATGTAGGGGACACGGGCTCGAGCCCTGGTCCGGGAAGATCCCACATGCCGCGGAGCAACTAAGCCCATGCGCCACAACTACTGAGCCTGCACTCTAGAGCCTGTGAGCTACAACTGTTGAGACTGCGTGCCACAACTACTGAAGCCCGCACGTCTAGAGCCCGTGCTCCACAACGAGAAGCCACTGCAATGAGAAGCCCGCGCACTGCAATGAAGAGTAGCCCCCACTCGCCGCAAGTAGAGAAAGCCTGCGCACAGCAACGAAGACCCAACGCAGCCAAAAATAAATTAAATAAATAAAATTTAAAAAAAAAAACAGTCACAGGAGGGAGATTCCTGGCAGTCCAGTGGTTAGGACTCAGTGCTTTCACTGCTGTGGGCCAGGTTCAACCACTGGTCAGGGAATAAGATCCCACAAGCTGCGAAGTGTGGCCGAACCCCCCCCCCCAAAACAGTCACAGGACCAGTGAGGACGGAGCATCACACCTGACAGGGAGGGAAGGAATTGATGGTGAGAATTTGAGACAAATTACCCACCAGCCAATAGCAGAAAAGTCAACCAGCTGAGCCCAATCTCATCACGGAATAATTAGAAAATCAACAGCTGTTTTAAGCAATTATTATGCAGCCGCACATACCTGGAACAGACATTGACACTTAAAAGTGAGATGCTGCCTCAGAAAATCTACAAACAACAAATGCTGGAGAGGGTGTGGAGAAAAGGGAACCCTCTTGCACTGTTGGTGGGAATGTAAATTGATACAGCCACTATGGAGAACTGTATGGAAGTTCCTTTAAAAACTAAAAATAGAATTACCATATGACCCAGCAATCCCACTACTGGGCATATACCCAGCGAAAACCATAATTCAAAACGACACATGCACCCCAGTGTTCATTGCAGCACTATTTACAATAGCCAGGGCATGGAAGCAACCTAAATGTCCGACGACAGACGAATGGATAAAGAAGATGTGGTACATATATATGATGGAATATTACCTCAGCCATAAAAAGGAACGAAATTGGGTCATTTGTAGAGGCGTGGATGGATCTAGAGACTGTCATACAGAGTGAAGTAAGTTAGAAAGAGAAAAACAAATATCGTATATTAACGCATAGATGTGGAACCTAGAAAAATGGTACAGATGAACTGGTTTGCAGGGCAGAAATAGAGACACAGATGTAGAGAACAAACGTATGGACACCAAGGGGGCAAAGTGGCGGGGGGGTGGTGGTGGTGATGGGATGAATTGGGAGATTGGAATTGACATATATACGCTAATATGTATAAAATAGATAACTAATAAGAACTTGCTGTATAAAAAATAAAATTCAAAAACAAAAAAAAAGTGAGACGCTGCCATCACAGAATTCTGAAATGTGGCCCTGACTTTGGAACCAGGCAGCAGGAGGACCTGGCAGGCAGTAAGGACATTGCTGGTGGAGGCCCGAGAAGGGCGGAGCCCAGTCAGGTATTGGCGGAAAAGTGGGACACCATTGCCTGTGGTAACGGGGAAGGCAGAAAATATATCTAAGGATCTGATTTTCCTGGCAGAAAGCTTAAAGGGCCAACTGGCTTCTTTCAGTCATTTATGCTAAAGTGAAATAAAGAAAAGAGAAATGAACTAAAGAAGTAATGTTCCATGTTCCAGCAGAAGTTGGAGGAAGTATTTCAAGCCAGGTCCTGCAGCTGGAAAAGAAAAACTATTTCTCAGCCTCAGCCTTTCCAGGCAGCAAAGGTTCTCAAGGTAAGAAATGGCATCGTGGGGAAGATCAAATCCAGGACACTGCAGCAAAACACGACCTCAGGGTTAAGAGAAATCCAAGGGCATGGCATATGACCCCTTGTTAAGACCTCTGAAGATTCCCAGGGGACGGGACCCTCATAGGTGCTGTCAGCCATACAGAAGCGCCTCCAGGCGT